GGAGTTCTAAAGCATGGTTTTAATTGGTAACCATGACCAGTCTGATCATTTTTTTCTTCTAAATATGTTCTACTTGTCTTTTCACATGTCTACTTCAGCAAAGTGTATTTTTACAGTATATTTTATTGATTATGCTATTACACTTGTCCCATTTGAAATTGTGTTTTTTTTTTTAAGATTATATTTACTTATTTTTCAGAGAGAGGAGAAGGGAGGGTGAAAGAGAGGGTCAGAAACATCAATGTGTGAGAGAAACATTGATTGGCTGCCTCTCACACGCCCCCCAACTGGGGACCTGGCCTGCAACCTAGGCATGTGCCCTGACTGGGAATCGAACCGATGACCTTTCAGTTAGCAGGCTGGTGTTCAGTCCACTGAGCCACACCAGCCAGGGCTAAAATTGTGTGTGTGTGTGTGTGTGTGTGTGTGTGTGTGTTTAAGGAGATAAATAAACATAGTCTTCAAAGGTAAAAAATTTGGAATATAACTGGTGTAATTTTTCTGTATTCTAATTTAATTATTATTTAATAACATTTAATCAGAAATACAGTACTTACTGAGCACAGTTATTTGCATAGAAAATGTCACAATAATTAATAAATAGTATAAGAGTAAACTCCATGTTTTGCCTACTCACAACTGCAAACCTACTTTTGTCCCACCCTGTATACTCAGTACTTGTAAGTATAGAAATAAGAACATATAGAGTAGTTCCCTTTATCTGTAGGGTATGCATCTAAGACCTCCAGTGGATCCCTGAAACTGAATTGTGCCCATGTGTCTGTCTCTCTCTCTCTTTTTCTCTCTCTCTTGCACTCTGTGTGCGTGTGTATGTATATATATACACATGCATGCATGTGCGCACACACACTGCTTTTTCCTATACATTACATACCTACAATGAAATTTCACTTATAAATTAGGCACAGTAAGAGATTAACAGCTAATAAAATAGAACAATTGTAACAATATATTCTAATAAAAGATATGTGAATGTGGTTTCTCTCAAAATATCCTATTTGTGGTGTATTCACCCTTCTTCTTGTGACGATGTGAGATGATAAAATGCCAAAGTTATTTCTGAATCTGTGTAACCACCTGTTACTTGGTGTCATTCGTTTAAGGGGATTCCTTGCTGAAGTCTTTTTATAGGATCAATGCTTTCTGGCGCAGTATGTTGTCCTCAGTCAGCACATGTTTTCTGTTCATGTCTTTCACTCACAAATATAATGTTGATTTGGAATCTCACAAGTCTGAAGTCTCAGAATCATAAAGACTTGCAATTACATGGCTCTGGTGGTCCTGAGGTGCTGTCATTTTTTGGAATTTCACAATCTTGAAGTCTTGTAGCTATGCCCTCTGAAGTCTAAAACAGATTAGTAAGCTTTTTCTTAAAATGGCAGATAGTAAATATTTTAGTATTGTTCTATTAAGATGAATTGTCTCAGCTCTGGTTTTTCCACAACATTTTTTATTTTGCCCTTATTTTTGAAGAATTTTTTCATGGGATATAGAATTTGAGATAAACAGTTTTCCTTTCCAAAGTTTTCACCATTATCTTCTGGCTTCTGAAGAGAAATCATTGCTTGTCTAAGTTCTTCTGTTTGTAGTGTATTTTTTATCCCTTCTGCTGCTTTTAGGATTTTTCTCTTTATTAGTAATTTGATGGTGACTTCCCATAGTTTATTTTTTTTTTTAATTTTCTGGCACAGGGCTCATTGAACCTCTGGATCTGTTGGATTATAGTTTTCATCAAATTTAGAAAATTAGCAGCTGTTATTTTTTCAAAATTTTTTTTGCCCTCCTCTTTCTGGGACCTTAATAGCTTATATGTTATATTGTTTGATGTTGTCTTCAGGTCACTAAGATTCTAATAATTTTTGGCCTTTTTTTTCCCCTTATACTTCCATTTGGATAGTTTCTGTTGCTCAGTGTTCAAATTCACTAGTTTTTCCTCTAGTTTTTAACCTGTTAAATTCTTCACTAAATTTTTAAATGTCAGTTATTGTATTCATCACCTCTAGTATTTCATTTGGTGTTTTTTATAATTTTCATTCCTTTGTTCAGTATCGTCATGGTTTACCTTAAATTCTTGAGATGCTTCTAAGAGATGTTTTTAAAGTCTTGTCTACTAATTCTGTCATCTCTGTTATTTCTATGACTTTTTCTGTTGACTGGTTTTTATCCTGGTTTTGGATCACTTTTGACTATTTGTTTCATCATTTTTTTTTGGATACTAGAGATTGTGCATGTTATATGACCAGTTGGATTGTGTTTTCCTTCCAGGAAGACAATGGAGGCTGTTTTATTTTGATAAGCAGTTATTTAACTTGGATCAGCTTGATAGTTCAAGCATTTTTTAAAAAGTTAGTTGGGGCAAATCTGGAATAACCTTTACTCTAGAGTTAATTTTTTCCCTACTGTTAATTGTGACCCTCTTGAGTCCAAGAATGCTTCCAGCTTTCAACCATTCTGACTGGTCAGAACTTAAGCATACCCTAGCCTAGCCTCAATAAAATTCATTTACATACAGAACTTAGTATTCTGCCAACTCAACAAGACTCCTGTGTAAATTTCTGGAGCTCTTCCTTTACATAACTCTTTTTCTCTAGCATTTTGCCTGAAAATTTCAGCTATCTCAACCTCCCTGAACTAAAACTTCTTAATTCAGTGAAATCTCACCACTTAGGTTCTTTGTACTTTGCCAAAGTCTGGGAAGTGACTGCAGACAGAAGCAAGGGCAGTGGGAGGACTCATCTTACTTGCTTTCTAAATCTTACTTTAGTACCTTGAAGGGAGAAAACAAGCACATGTAGAATGTAACCATGGTTAGAGCTTAGAGCTTATCTATGTTTTATTAAAAATATACATCCTAGCCCTGGCTGGTATAGCTCAGTGGATTGAGCACGGGCTGCAAGCCAAAACATCGCAGGTTCGATTCCCAGTCAGGGCACATGCCTGGGTTGCAGGCCACGGCCCCCAGCAACTGCACATTGATGTTTCTCTCTCTCTCTCTCTTTCTCCCTCCCTTCCCTCTCTAAAAATAAATAAATAAAATCTTAAAAAAAAACACAAAACACTGAACTTAGCCAATAGATGCTAAATGTTTCACACACACACACACACACACACACACACACACATATTCTGTTGATGGGGAAAGAAAAATGTTCATGTTTTCATGATGCCCCTAGTACCTATCACATCATAAATCCTACTTTAACTCCTCTGTCTTTTATTGACTTTGTTACTTATATCTTTTATGATATTTTTTTTCATTTACTCAATAAGTATTAAATTTGTAAGTAGTAACCATATTGACAAGATGAATCAGACATGGATTTATTTATATTTTAGAGAGAGAAGGGAGGGGGAAAAAGAGAGGGAGAGAAACATCAATGTGAGAGAGAAATGATGATGGGTTGCCTCTTATGCATGCTCGACCAGGGACCAAGTCCACAACCTAGGCATGTGCCCTGACCAGGAATCAAACCAACAACCTCTTGCTTTGTGGGATGGCACCAAACCAACTGAGCCACACTGATCAGGGCTGGATGTGGGTTCTGTTCTTAGAATGTTTACAGTGTAGCCAGGAAAGAAAATGTATGTAGAACCTTCAAACCTGAGATAGAGATTAAAAATTATAAAACATAAGCACAGATAGGCCTGGCTCAGTGGATTGAGTACTAGCCTGTGGACCAAAAGGTTGCCAGTTCAATTCCCAGCCAGCATATAACTGGGTTGTGGGTCAGGTCTCAAGTTGGGAGCATGTGAGAGGAACCTGATTCATGCTCTTCTCTCACATTGATGTTTCTCTCCTTCTCTTTCTCCTTCTCCCTCTCTCTAAAAATCAAATTTAAAAAGTAACAAATAAAATAAAATATTACAGATAAAAGTGGTGTGGGAATCCAAAAATAAATGTCTAAGTTACTTATATTACATGTTGTATTTAAGCAGGCTACTTAATGAGAAAATATTTTTTATTTTAAGGCTTTTTGATATTTGAATTTACTTTTCATGCCATTTTATTTTATTTTACTTTTTTAGAGAGAGGGGAAGAGAGGGATAAAGAGAAGGAAAGAAACATCAATTGGCTACCTTCCATAGGTGTTCGACTAGGGATGATCCCACAATCTAGACATGTGCCCTGTCCGAAATCAAACTGGGAACCTTTTAATTTGTGGGATGATGCCTAACTAACTGAACCACACCAGCCATGGCTTTTGTGCCATTTTAGATACATTGTATTTGTAGTTTCAGAATTTTGTTTATTTTTAGCAATTGAATTGGGAAATTAAAATATATCGTTGGAAGAGAAGGCTGAAAAATTTAACAATTTTGTTTGATTTGACTCTTAGTGGAGGAATCAGACATCATTGATCTGGAGAAACGTTATTGGTTGCTGAAGGCTCAATCCCGGACTGGACGATTTGATTTAGAGACATTTGGCCCATTGGTTTCCCCACCTATTCGTCCATCTCTAAGTGAAGGTAAATTTCATTCTATTTTCTACAGATGTTCTTTGGTAAACAGACCTAGGCCCATCTCTTATTTTTAACCAACATATCTTAATTCTAAAAGGGCATATAATATACAGGTTTGCAAGTTTCTTACAAATAGCAGAGTTTAGTGGAAAAAAAATAAAATGGGATTTAAGATTGTAGTTTTGAGAATCCCATTCTACCTATGTGACCTTGCATAAATTAATTTAGGTCTCTCCACCTGAATATCCTCATATGTAAAATATGTTTGACCAAGTCAGTGGTTATGAAGTTACACTCCAATGAGGCCCCTTAGCAGCTGGTGCAGAGAATAGGGTGGTGGCCATTGAATGAACGGGCAGAGCTCCAGGTTTTTACACATAACCCCACCTCTTACTCAAGTTGAGTGCCTCTACTTTTTTCTTTTTTAAATGTTTAATATAAATGCTTTATTAATAGTCAGATACCATCCCGAGGGGTCATGTGGTCCACCCAGACATCCAGGACCCAGACACAAATTCAGCGCACCCTCCTAGCCTCTTGCTTTGAATCCAACAGGGTGAACATATTGCTCTCACGTGCAAGGCCTTTCACTTTGCAGATGATGGAGCGGCTCCTGTTGTCCATGCATTCCACACATATCTGCATGCACTGTCCCTAGGAACCGGTTCAGCCCAGCACCTTGGTGACCCTGACTAGCTTGATAGATTGCACACGACTTGTGTCCTTGATGGCAGCAGCTGCAGTGTACTTTCTTTCTTTTACTTAAGAACTTCCCATTACTGTATCTCTTCTCCCCCCAAAATAAGAAACTACTGGACTAAGCCTTCGTTGAGGTCTCTGCTAGCTCTAAACTGTTCATGGCTGACTTTTTAAAAAAAATTTACGAATACAAAGAATAATTATGGGTGATCTCTATCACAAAAAGAAACATATTTGGAATCTGAATACTCGAGTTCTCTGTCCTGTTTTGACCTTTTTTAAACTTTTCTTACTTTTGGCAGCTGCCTTCTGAGTTTTAGTTTTCTCACTCTTTAAACTAAGGGCACAGGATTAGATTTTTAGAATATATAATCTGTATTCTTCAGATTCGTAGGGTACTTCAGAAGTACTTGTTAGGGGAAGCCGGAACAGATAAGGCTCTGGGCTTTTACCTACTTCAGCAGTGCAGCTTTTACCTTTTTAGAATTTAAAATATAATTTGGACAGTTTATGGGAGTCATGCCTCCTTTTATAAACATGTCATTATAACATTAGGAAGTTGGGTCACTGTGATTTATGGTGTCTTTTTCTATTTTACAGGTTTGTTTAATGCTTTTGATGAAAATCGTGACAATCACATAGACTTTAAGGAGATATCCTGTGGTTTGTCAGCCTGTTGCAGGGGACCCCTGGCTGAAAGACAAAAATGTAAGTGTTTTTAAACATTGTCAAAAAATTTGCAAAGTATACACTGAAAAAATTAGCATTCGTCCATGTAAAATCATCTGTGGATTAAGGCTTGAATTTTCATCACTTTGTTAGGTTGGCATATAGCAGTTTCATATTGAGGTTTTACTGAAGCTAGTCTAAGGATTTAGTCATCTATTCTTTTTTACTGTGGACGTAGTTTGGTATGTTTATTATTAATAATGGGATTAATTTTCCAATGAATTTACAGTTCATGATAAACTATATCAGAAAATGTATTTGAAAACGTTAAGTTCTTAAAAAATATTTTTGGGGGACTTCTGGTCAAAATGGCAGCATAGGTAAACACAGCTCACCTTGTTTGAATCACTTTGTTTGATGTGATGTTTGAATCACATCAAAATTACAACTAAACTATAGAACAATCATCACTCAGAACAGTCAGAACTAGTTGAATGGAAGTTCAACAACTATGGAATTAAAGAAACCACATTCATACAAACAGGTAGGAGGGGTACAGATGCAGAACAGGATGATCCTATACCCATGCATAGTGGGTAAAAATTTGGGAGGGATATCTTGGGAGCGAGGAGTCCCAGCCCCATGCCAGGCCCTCAAACTAAGGGTTCCAGTGCCAGGAAGATAAGTCCCTATAACTCCTGAGTGCAAAAACCAGTGGGGATTGTATTGGTGGAAGAAACTTCTCGTGTCCTGAGCAGTTCCTCTTAAAGAACCCACACATGGACTTACTCAAACTCACTCCGTCTGAGCTCCAGCACTGAGGTAGCAAATTGAAAGGCACCAATAGCATACAGGGAAAAACTGAAGTGTCTATCATCAGGGCAACAGCTGAGGGACAGCTTTTTCCCAGACAAAAAGGCAGGCAGAGGCCATTGTCCCCTCTCTGAACCCTCCCCCACCATAGAGCCACAGAGCTGGTAGGTTGGTGCCACATCTGAGACTCTATCAACCTGGCTAACACTGGTTGCCCTGCCCTGGAGATCCCCTGAGGTCCTGTCCCACCCAATTTACTGGCCCACCCAAACTGTTAACAGTGACTTTTCCATGTTAATGACTATTCTTGACTTATTCTTCACAACTTCCTAAATCCTCTCAAACAAGCAACTGCTGACCTCAGCCCCCAGCCACTGTACCTCTTGCTCAGTGACTGCAGTACTAGCAGCAGTCAGCCTAGATTCACAACTTAGTTTCTCCTGGAATCTCTAAGCCAAGAACAAGTAGCAGCTATTTCAGAGTGCTTTACTGAGTAGGCAGGGTGGCCCTGGCAGAACAGAGGAGGGAGCAGGCCTTGGCGTACACCACCTGGGAAACCCCAGAACCTGTGCATCCAGTGGAGCTACAGATTACGTCAGAGCACCACCACCCTGCCCATACGCAGCTTATCCTCCATAGAGGGTAGAAGTTGGTGGCCAGTCGTGACAGCCAGTCCTTGCCACTGATTGGTCTAGGTAAATCCCTCTCATTGATCTGCCAACAGTAACCAAGGCTCAACTACAAGAAGGTGTACTCAGCCCACATGAAGGACACACCTTGAGTACCCACCTTGGGTGATAGGGGAGGCTGTGCCCTGAAGCCCACAGGACATCTACTATATTAGGCCACACAACCAAGACAATGAGTGATAGTAGCAAGAGAACCTTAAAAGCAGCAAGAGAAAAGCACTTAGTTACCTACAGACTATCAGCTGATTTCTCAAAAGAAACTTTGTAGGCTAGAAGTGATTGGCAAGAAATACTCAAAGCCATGAAAAGCAGGGATCTACAGCTAAGATTGTTCTACCCAGCAAAGCTATCATTTAGAATCAAAGGGCAGATATAGAGCTTCCCGGGGCGGGGGTGGGGGGAACTAAAGGAGTTCATTATCAACAACTTTTATATATGAAATGTTAAAGGAACTTATTTAAGAAAAAGATCAAAACTATGAATAATAAAATGGCAATAAATACATATCTACCAACAATTGAATCTGAAAAACAAACTAAGCAAACAAGAAGAACAAAGACAGAATCATGGGTACAGAGAGCATTTTGATGGTGGCCAGGTGGGAAGAGTTGTGGGGGAATGGATGAAGTGAAGGGATTAAGAAGAACAAATAGGTAGTTACAGAATAGCCATGGGGATATAAAGTACAGTATAGGAAATGGAGTAGCCAAAGAACTTACACACATGACCCATGGACATGAACTCCACTAATTTGGTGAAGGAAATAAACATACAAATCCAGGAAGTACAGAGAGTCCCAAACAAGGTGGACCCAAAGAGGACCACACATCATAATTAAAATGCCAAAGGTTAAAGATAAAGACACATCATAACTAAAATGCCAAAGGTTAAAGGTAAAGAGAGAATCTTAAAAATAGCAAGAGAAAAGCTGATAGTTACCTGCAAAGGAGCTCCTATAAGATATCAGCTGAGTTCTTGAAAGAAACTTTGCATGTTAGAAGGGACTGGCAAGAAGTATTTATTCAAAGTGATGAAAAACAAGGACCTACTACCTAGATTACTCTATCCAGCAAAGCTATCATTCACAATTATAGAGAAAGTGCTTCCCAGACAAGGTAAAACTAAAGGAGTTCATCATCACCTAGCCATTATTATATGAAATGCTAAAGGGACTTACTTAAGAAAAAGAAAATCCAAACTATGAATATTAAAATGGCAACAAATTCATAACTATTAACAACTGAATTTAAAAAACAAACTAAGCAAATAAGTAGAACAGGAACAGAATTATAGATATGGCAAGCATTTGGAAGTTTATCATTTGGGAGGGGAAAGAGGGAAAATGGGGTGAAAGGCGTAGGGATTAAGAAGTACAAATTGGTAGGTACAAAATACACAGAAGGATGTTAAGAACAGTATAGGTAATGGAATAGCCAAAGTACTTATATGCATGACCCATGGACATTGAATCTTAGTTCAATGACGGAGGGGATTGCCAGAGAGAATGGGGGTACCGGGTGGAAGGATACAAAGGGGAATAAATTGAGACAACTGTAATAGTATAATCAATAAAATATATTTTAAAAATATTATCTGGTAGTCTGTATAGAGAATTCAGTGCCTTGCATAATTTGAAGTACAAATTATTTTCTGAGTTGTATATATTAATATTTTATAGCAATATGAAATTTATCATCAGAACACAATTTTGTTAAATACTAAAATTGTCCTTTAAATATAGCTAAAATGTAACAGCATAATTTATAAGTATATTACATTATTAAATCTTAATAATTAGAGAAAATGCAGCAGTTTACATTTAATTGGTACCTAATTCTCATATATTTACTAAGGTTATCATCTCTGGGCCTTTCTAAAACACAGCTCGTAAGTGTTGCCTGTTTTGAATGTGCTATTTAACTGTTTTGACCTTTAGTAATATTGTTTCTATGATATACTCACTTGAACAGCATAATTATTAGGGGGATGTATGGAATTAAATATTGTTTAAACTTAAATATTCAGATTTCTTCCCCTGGCCAGGTGGATCAGTTTATTGGAGCATCATCCTGTGCACCAAAAGGTGGCAGGCTCGATTCCTGATTAGGGCACCTTCCTAGGTTGCAGGTTTGATCCAAGTTGGGGCAATATGGCAGGCAACCAATTTTCTCTCTCTCTTTCTCTTCCTTCTTCACTCTCTAAAATCATTTGGGAGGGGAAAACTTTTCCTTGGGTGAGGTTAAAAAAATTAGATTTTTTTCCCATGATGATACCATTAATTCAACCTGGATATATGATGGATTATTTGTTCTCATTTAGTTATAATATTAAATAAGGAGGCTAAATTTTTTGCTTTTCACTTGATCTTAATTGTTGACTTAATATTTTTAAAAAAATTCTTTACTGCTGACATACTAATGGAAGTGAACCAACTAGAGATTCTTTTGGAGTTAATTAGCAAAATGCTTATATTTCTAATTCTTAGCATGTTTTATATAAATTTTATTGAAGAGTTAAAATTATTCTTTGGTAAAACATTGAGTACACATTAGCTTCCTTGGAGAGGCTAAATGAAAGCAGACTATCTTAATACCCCCTTGTTATTGATTCTTAATGTACATGGAATATTTTCAGCACTAGAAGAATCAGTTCTTCAGTGAACAGTTTTAAATATTAGAAATTAATTTAAATAAAGGCTTGTATTACCTCCTCAAAAACCTGTGAGATATTTTAATATTTATTGGCCCCCCTTTTTGTTTTGTTTTGTTCTGTTTTGTTTTCAAGTTTGAGAGAAACAGTAACAATTTATGAAGTCTGTGCAGTTACCCTCCATCTTCAGAGGACTTAAGTGACATATTTGTATGTGTGCTCCGGATGAGAACTTACATCCAGAATATACTTGTTTGAGAAATTGAGTAATTTTTACTAGGGTAGCTTCTAATAAAATGTATTATACTTCAGAATATAAAAGTAATTTCCCTCCATAAGAGTTTCTTTCTTTCTTTCTTTCTTTTTTTTTTAAGTTTGCTTCAAGGTGTTTGATGTTGACCGTGATGGAGTTCTCTCCAGGGTTGAACTTAGAGACATGGTGGTTGCACTTTTAGAGGTCTGGAAAGATAACCGCACAGATGATATCCCAGTAAGTTCTGATTTTAAATATCTTGTTGCATGTAAACTTCTAATAGGAAGATGGAGTGGAGAATTTTTTATAAGTGAGGGAGTGAAAAGGAGTGGTAGTTGCTATATTATACTCCTCAAAATATTCATAGCTAAAGATGCAAAATTGGGTAGAGAATTTGTCTTAGAAAATTTAATAAACTGACCTTATTGTATAAAGTAAGACTGAAGCT